CGTTTTGTACTGCTGTTACACAGCACAAAACACATAAAAATGAGATCTGCATTTGACGTTCAGTACATGTGGTCGCACGAATTTTGTCCACTGATCTTTCCTTTGCAGGCAGGTACTCTTCTGGCAATTGGAGTGATATCGTCAGGGGTGCAGGACCCGTGTGATCCAGCAGCAGCACTTCTTATCGATCACCTGCATTGTGATCGTACGGTGATGCGAATTGGTTCCATTTTTGGCCTGGGATTGGCTTATGCAAATTCGAAAAGGTTAACTGTACTGAAGAAAGAAGATGGCGGGATTGTATTCGAGCTAAAAAAGGTGCTTTCCGACACGAGACCGTCCGCAACAACCGAGGTATGCTTGATTTTTCACTTATTTTGTGCTTATCGTTTGCGTTCCAGTATTTTTTTTTTCTCGCATTTTCACGCTTTTCGTAGATAATCGAATTTGTTGGGTTCCCTGGTCCAAGCGCTTCATTTGACTGGCCGTGTACTGCGGCCTGTCAAATCGGCTTGTTGACCCCTCGGCAGTTAGTGGGGGTATGAACGGGGTCCTCCTTTTTCATACGCCCTGGTCGGCGCACTTCACGGAATAGGCACTAGTCAATTGTCGTCCTCGTTGGGGTAGACACTGTTCCAGACAGACACTCCGCAAGATACTATCATGCCCACAATACAGATACGGTGGCCTTATATAGGCCGCATTCGCGCCAGTGCACGACCTACCTAGGAGGGGGTCATGATGCAACAAATTGAATGAAGTCACGGAGTACATTATAAAGTATTTTGTGAAGTAGGACATGCGGGTGAAAGTTAAGGAGTTATGTGCCGATTGTAGCAGCCAGGTTGACCTGGAAGCCTAAGTGGAGAAGGCGCGATAGAGTACAGAAAGAAAGAACAGTATTAGAAAAGAAGAGTGAGATAAGACGTTTCGGTCCATTAAGTCATACACGCCTTAACACTGCAACACGATCTAGTCACTGTGATGGTCACAGTGCTTAATGGCGAAGGAAAAGAAAAGAGAAAGAAGAAAGGAAGAAACAGAAAGGGAAACGGTATGATTGTGGGGTTAGAATGATTGAGAATGGGATGAAAAGGGAAAGGAAAAGGAAAGAGAAAAAAAGATTTTAAAGAGATTTTATCTTTTAAAAAAGTGTTAGGAAGTTTTTTAAAGGAAGTTATTTTTGAAAAAAGATCGATAGTGAACTTCGATCATCGAAGTTTTATTGCTGGAACAGTTGTGTGTGGAGCCGTGGTCGCTACAGATCTTACTTCTCTTTGCAATAGCCATAGTTGAAAAAACGTAGCGGAAAGAGAAAGACACACGAAAGAAGAACGTAACTCAAAGGACATAGGAAGCGAAAATGGGTGGGGGTTATGGAGTCAAACACTGTATTAAACGGCGATAATGAGCTTCAGTAGGTGGGAAATATTTGAAGGAATGGTTATAAATTCATATGAAACGCAGTGCTGTTCCATTTGGGTAGAATAGAAGATATGATTGGTAGTAGGCATTGCCGAATATGAATAATTGGGTCAAAAATGGTATATTTTGCACCTAATTGCTAAGTGACGACGTTGAATCTTTCCCTCTGTCAAAAGCTGAATGCATTTCTGATGTTCGTAATTTTTTTTCTTTTTTTGAGTTATCTTTGATCAGTGATAACTAAAAATCCTTTATCTGTGAAAAGTTATGATTGATTTCAGGTGAAAGGATTGGCTGCGCTAGCCATTGGATTCATATTAGTGGGTACCTGCGATCATATTACAGCTTCGGAGATGTTCAACTATTTAAATGAGAAAACAGCTACCGATCTGCAAGACCCGAACTACCGTTTCGTAGCTCTTGGCATCGCTCTGATTTTCCTTGGTCAGTTAGAATTATTGTTAATAAAGTTTTATTCATCTTTTTATCCTGTTAATAATTGATATCCGTTGAGTGGAGCTGAACAAATCCTGTAGGAATTAAATTAGTAATTTAAAAAAAGAAAAAAAAGGTGTCAGGAACAATTCAACTTGGGAAGGGTGAGCTGTTCTCTTTAGCTCCATTAGCAAAAAAAAATATACTTGGATCAGCTCTAATTTACAGTTTGGCTCCACATTTGTGAAGTTGACAGCTTTTCCAGTTGCTTTGACCAATGCTGCTTCGCTTAGTGATTAGCCTACTTTTCGTCTTTTGATGGGATTACCATTTTAACGGTTCTTCTAAAGGAACTAGTTGGCAATGCTTTAGCTCTGCAGATACGTTATTAGTGTGTGTATGTGTGTGCGCGTGCGTGTGTGTGTGCGTGTGCGTGTGTGTGTTTGTGTGTGTGTGCGCGTGTGTGTGCGTGCGTGTGTGCGTGTGTGTGTGCGTGTGTGTGTGTTGAGCATCACCACCTCGTCTCTCCCAAACATGATGCGATAACTTATCGAATACGGGACACAAAAAATATCACCATACAAGATAGAAATCAATCAGTATGCATTTTTTACTCAATATTAAGTGATAATAAAATGTATAATTGATATAATAGC